TGAAGCCTCGCGGCGTGAGACATAGAGGCTCACGACGTGAGATGGTTTGCATAAAGTTTTTGTCTGGTACTGGTCTCACGACATGAGACATAGAGTGCTCACGACGTGAGAGTTTTTGCAGCCCAAACCCATTATCTTTTAGGGTTTCCTTCGTATTTAAGCATCTCTAACCTCATTTTAGGGTTTCTTATCAACCCCAAACCCTCTTTTACCTCAGAAAACCCTAGCCTCCATTCCTTGCTTGATCTTTGGTCATTTTGGAGCTTTTCTTGTCTTGGAAGAAGGAGAAAAGAAGAAAAAGGTGGTATTGTGTTGAGGCTTGCAAGCAATCATCATCATCATCTTACATTGTTTTGTACCATTGTGATTATCAAATATTCCTCCTTTATTATTCAATAATGATAGATCTAGGTTTTGTCCCACTTTTCCTCTTGGTTGTGCAAGTTTGATGAATGGAAACCAGAAAGTTGGAAACTTTACGTGTTATTGGGGCCTTAAGAGTGATATGGAGTTCAGATCTAGTGAATAGTTGAGTTTTGGAACATTGCATGAAATTTGGATGTCTTTTTCTTCAACGTTTTACCCAAATGAGATCTAGACATGTTTTGGACATATACGTCTTAAAAGCATCGACTTTATGGTGTATTAAGAAGTTATAAGACTCTCTAGAAAGTTAGGGTTCAAGGCTTAATGGATTAAGGACCTAAAAGTTGGACTTTTGGCTTCATATTGTTCTTACGACGTGAGACTTGGGGTCTCACGATGTGAGGGGTGCATGACCATGTTTCTAGTTAGCTTCTTGGAGCTCACGACGTGAGAGGAGGATTTTCACGATGTGAGGTCTGCTCTGTTGACTTATCTTGACTGAGTTGGCCAAGGTGAGTTGAGATGAGTCGGAATTGGAATGAGTGAGATCTCATTACGTGACCAGGGACTGGTCACGACGTGAGGATGGATAGTTGACATTATGGGTTGTTGACTTTTGGCTTGGTTTGACTTTTGGCCAAAATTCCATTTCTAGAAGGTAGAATTAGGGTTTACCTTGTGTGGATTGATATGAGGTGTCAAGCACCCGTCTTTTGGCAGGAGAGTAGTTAGCTGAGGTCGGCTTTCTGATTCAGGTGAGTCTCCTCACTGTGTTTGACGGGTCGAAGGCACTAATGTCGACCCATTATTTATTATGATTATGGATCTAGTTGTCTGTGTGACTCTTGCATGTGTGATCTGTAATATGTAGATCGGGCGTGGTCCGATGCCAGGTGGGGCCTGATGAGTGTATTGTATTTTTCCTATCTTAGCGACTCTCGTATGTGTTCTATGTGTTTGTATAAATATCGGACGGGGTCTGATGCCAGGCAGGGCCTGATGAGCGTGTTGGCCGGGGCCCATCTCATGTTACTGACAGATTTGTTTCGGGCGGGGCGCGATGTCGGGCAGGGTGCGATGCCAGGCGGGGCCTGATGAATGTACCGGGCAAGACCCGATGTCGGGCAGGGCCCGAGGTATATTTGTATGCATGATATGTGTGGCATGTGGGATTTGGAGAACTCACTAAGCTTTGTGCTTACGATTTTATGTTTATGGTTTCATGTACTTCCAGCTCGAAAGGGAAGGGCCCGATTTGATCGCACCGCATCAGCCTATGTTTTTTTCCGTATTATATGATTTTGGGATTTTGTACTCTGATGTTATTTTCAATATGATATATTTTGGATGATTGAAATGATTAAATGGTGTTTATGGTTGAACTAAAAATGAAATTTTTACCTTACATTTTTGGGACGTTACACTTGGTTGCCACGAGATGGCAAGAGGAGGGCCACCATGTGGCTGATGTTGCCGCTCAAGCCCATGGATTTTAGGGTTTCCTCTATATTTAAACTCCTTAACTTCAAGTTAGTGCATCCTTTTCAGCCTCCAACCTCTCCATTTCGAAAACCATAGCCCCCTTGAGTGTTCTTAGCCATTTAAAGGCTTATTTCTCATATTTTGGTGTGGAGCTCAAAGACCAGGTTTCTTGCAAAGTGTTTTGGTGAAGAGTTCAAGTGTATATATATCAAAGGGACTTCATTTATGGACCATTGTGAGTAAAAAGCTTCCATTTTGACATTTAGCTTGCTCGATCTTGTAGTTTGATCATATATGTCCATTTTGGTCCTTGTGAGCTTGTACTTTGGAGTTCAGTGAACTCCATCACCTATTGAGCTTATTTTATCACCTCATAATCTTGTTGGATTGGAAAAGTTTGCATCTTGATCTTGTTCTTGAAGCCATGCATATTTTAGGAAGGTTTTACATTATTATGGACTTAGGGTTTAGGATCTTGTCTTGTGGTGAGGTCCTAATGGATAAAGTTGGAAAATTTATCCATTAAGTCATTGTGAAAGAGCAGATCTGAAGTTTTGGGCCTTGATCTGCATGGATTAAGTTCTTGATGGAGTTTTAGAGCAAATTGCCAATTCCCCCGACGTGGCCAAGGAGAGCCCACGACGTGGAGAGGCCCAATTTCACAACTAATTTTTTTCTAGACATACCCACGATGTGGCCAAGAGATCATCACATCGTGGTGATTGTTGACTTGGTTCACCGTTGACTTTTGTTGACCGTTGACTTTTGACTAGTTTGACTTGGGGTCAAACTTCAAGGATTTGGGTTGTTGATTGAGGATTCATCTCTTTTAGTGATTAGTCGGTTCGCTGGATGGAGTAGTGCAATGAGTTAGAATGTTGTAAAGTTTCTCCGGTTCTTCAGCCCGGGTGAGTTTCTCACTATGCCACGTATCTCACTGTATATCCTTTGTATGGTAGGATAGAGGTATTGTTAGAGTACAAGTATGCTTATGGCCTAGGGTAATTTTTTGTTATGCCTTGCAGTTTAGAACACTTGGTGCTTTAGTATGATAGACTGGTAGAGTCTTGACTGTTGATCGTGTGATTATGTTGGGAGTTATGTTTTGTTAGGATAACTAGGGTAGGCCAATTATCAAGATTATGTAGGAATGACTAATGAAGGACATAATTGAGAAGTGGTCAATGGCAGGGTAACTGGGGAAGGCTAGTTGCCAAGGGAATGTACTATGTTAGTTTATACATATGTTTATGTTATATGATTATGTGGTAGTGATAGCTTGGGTTCTATGTAGTCTAAGTTGGATAGCCTGAGAACTCTTGGTCTAATGTCTAATTTTGATATTCTTTTCTGATTGTTCGCTCTCGGGTGAATCATCTGTTCGACTATCTATCTAGTCCCTGACTACAAATGACTTTTTGTATTGTATGGAAGACCAGGAGGTGGCTCCTGGTAGTGGAGGTTGTGCTAGGCACGTTTACTCCTTGGGTGGGGCCCGTTATGTTGGGTGGGTTCCATTATGTTGGGCGGGCCCGTTATATATAGTTATATGGGGCCCGTTATGTACAGTTGGGTGGGGCCTGTTATCTATGGTTGGGTGGGACTCGTTATGTGAGTTGGGTTGGGCCCGTTACGTAAGATATATGTATGTGTCTACGAGATTTGGTTGCTTGGCGCTAGAGTCGAGATATCACATGGATGCATTGTTGGTATGATCGAATATGTGGTATACTGGGAACTCACTAAGCTTTACACTTACAGTTGTGGATTAAACTTTTTGCAGGTCTTTCATGAGAAGAGCTCGGTGGGACTGTATACACGCATCAAAAATGTTCGTTTCCGCGGTTTTGTAAATTTAACTCTGATAGCGTATGGTTTCAATCAATCAAATGTTACTCAACGGGTTTGAAGCAAAGGTTTAAATGGGTTATTATATTTTAAAGAACTGCACCTTCAAACTCTGATAGAATGCCTCTAGCAGCCTCCGTTAATCTGGAAAGTATCTTTGTTGCCTGAGTTCTGATTGATTCGGCTGGTTTGGAATAATTTTTTTTGTCAATTTCAGATAATAAATCCAATAAGAAATCGTGTAAATCCAACATCTTAAATAGTTTCTCCAGCGACCTATGACTAATATTAATGGCTTCCATGAATTTAAAGAGGTGAATTGTGAGGCCTTTAACTGTTTTTGATCAGTAATGCTTTCCGACGATACGAGATCTTGTTCGTGAATACTGGTCATAGATCTGCAGGTCTCAAATGTTGCACTGCATTCAAGAAAGGAAGAAGATTCATCTCTGGAAACAACATCGTTTTTCCCTCAGTTGTCACAATAATCATTTTTCAGTGACTAGCTGCGGGAGCTGTTGGTTTTGGTAGTCAAGCGAATTGACGAGATTGACTTAGTGACATATTCAGTCTTGATCGGAGTAGAGTTATTGATGATTATATTACGAAACTCATCCTCGAGACGAGTCAAGACGATCTGGACCAAAAACAAAAGAGCATGAAACCATAGAGACCATTCGTGTAATTTAGAAGAATTGGTTAACGGAAGATCTGTTAAAAATTAACGAAAGTGATTTAATAGACATATAAGTTTTAAGTTTAATGACCTATTATGCGAAAAAAATATTTTAACGATCAAATCACACCTTAGACAAAAGTTTTTTGTGCTACAGTCACGGTCAAATTTATTATGGTGTCAGTAGTGGCACCGGCAACACCTAGTTCTTTCGGACGAATATAAAAATTTCGGTTTTTTTTTTCTATAAAATATGTCATCGGCAACACCTACTAAGAACATACAACACTTATTACGGAATCTTGCGTCCCTGGCTAGATAACATTTTCCATTTGAATAATTATTGTGTCTTTGTCAAGAATATATGTCCGGATTATATAGGTTTTGTTTCTTTTCATTTTTTGGTCTAGTGATTAGCTCAAAATAAAAGGTTTAAAAACACTAAATTTTCTAAAGATTTGAAAATATAAATGTGGGACCTTTTTTTATGTGAACGAGCAAAACTTTTTACCTTAATGAGTTCTAACGGCTAGTTAGGGTATATTGGTCCAAATATTCCAACAACTATATTTTCTTACCCTACAAATGTATACACACCAGTTTACAATTTTACATCTCTCCCACTTTATCTTTTTTCAAGATTACAACGTATCCCTCTCATTTCTTTCTTTAAGTCACATTGTTATGGCATCACCAACACCATTACCATTAACAAAAGTACCATCATGCCAAAGTTTAAGTCCTGAAACTTTTACCTTCGATCAAGATCTGGCAACAGATATGCTCCTCAAATGCATGATCCAGACTAATCGCCCCATCCAATCATTCGGCAGCGACCGCTTCACAAGATTAGTTCAAGAAAACCTGCAACCAGAATACGAAGCAGTGAGTGAAACTACTTTTAAACATCTTGCATTTAAACATTATTTACAGGCTAGAAAATCCTTGATTAAATATTTTGAAAATTATCAAAGCAAAGTTAGTTTAACCATTCATGCATGGAAGACTACCGGGCAATACTTTGATATTCCTTATACTTGCATTACATGTCATTGGATCGATCCAGAAACATGGAAAATGTCAAAAAGAATAATTGCTCTCGAACAATTTCAAGATGTTCATGGGGTTATTATGTCAAGCATTTCTGAATTTAAATCACTATTGATGATTCCTCTAGTTACTATACAAATACTATTGAAAGGTTGAAAATAGAGTTAAATCCTATGTTTAATGGAGCTTTTTTTCATACAAAATGTGCATGTCATCTTTTAAATTCAATGGTTCAATCCATTTTCGATTATGCTGCTCCGATTATCAAAAAATTTCAAAATTTGTTCTATTATGTATTCCGTTCATATGAAACAGAAAAATACAAAAAGTTTATGAGTTCAAAACGTAAGAAAATTACAGACATAGTCGGATTTTTGCCACATGATTGGAACACTATTTGCAAAACATTTGGTTGTATGTTAAAACAAAAATCACTCATTGCAGAGTTTTATGCTAGTTGTGATGAGAGCGACATAGAAAACAACAATTGGGAAATCATTGAATCTCTTTTGCGTATTTTAAAAGTTTTTCATAGTTCTGTAATACGTTTGTCGGATGCTCATTATCCTACTACACCACTAGTTTTGGGAGAAATTTTGGTAATAGCTCATATGTTTAGAGAATATAAACAGAATCCCTTTTGGGAACCGGGTATTCTTGAAATGCAGTCTAAGTTATTACAATTCTATGAAACAATGCCTCCCATTTTCACTTGTGCAGCGGCTTTAAATCCTAAGATTGGACTTGATGGTGTAGAGAATATTCTAGAGGATATCGAGGGATACTTAGGATTAGATAGTGATTATGCAAAGGTTAGTATGACAAAATGTTGTGATACTTTACATGAAGTGTTTGATTACTATGATAAGATGCATAGATCAAAAAGTCGTGAAAGAAATATGACAAAGGAATCGGGTTCAAGAAACATAGTGATGGAATCGGTTTTAAGAAGGAAATCAAGAAGCTTGACAATTTTGAATGAACTGGAGCTATATAAAAACACCGATTTTATAAATGTTATGAGTTATGATGAATATGAGAATTGTAATATGTTGGAATGGTGGAGAAATAAAGGGCGTTATCAGTATCCTGTTATGGGGGAAATGGTACGTGATATGATAACTGTGCAGGCTAGTACAATGGGTTTGGAGTTTGGTTTTTGTTTGCATGGCAGGGTTTTGGATGAGTTGACGACGTGGAAGCTAAAGCCACGATGGGAGGAAATGCGCATGTTCTTGAAGGAGCATTATGATGATAATGAAGGGAAGGAAAATGTTGATTTGATTGAAGATGATGATGATGATGATGATGATGATGGAAGTGAAGATGTGGAAAATTTTCTGATAGATCGGATAAAGGAGGAAGTTTTTGGAAGTGATTGCGAAGATTATGATTAAGATTTGTAACAATGTCTTCCATATTATCAAATTTACAACCATGCAACTTTCTCTAGAATTCAACATGATCAATATAGCTACCATTTAATGGATCTCAATGACATGAGCGATCTGATTGATGTCGGGCTTCACATTGTGAGTTTGTGACTTGCCCACTTGAAATTGTAGATTTATATGGTGTTTGTAGTACCTAGTTTATTTGAAGGACTTTTTGGTCAATGCAACTGTTAAATTTACTCTTTTAGATTTCCTAAATATTTTTTGTTATTTGAAATGGACCCCCAACACACCTCCCTGTCAGTATCCTCCTCCCTCAGAGGATCTATTCACCACATATACTCATTTACCCATTTGAGTCAAATTCAAGAACACGTATTGGTGAAGCTTTTTTTTCTTGTTTACGTACCTTACTTGGACTTTGGATGATTATCCAAACAAAATATATAAATAAATGGTCAATAGATATGATTGGGGGGCCTTGGATAATCATCCAAGCAAACCATGAACTCAAAGATCGACTATGGAAGTTGATATTGTAGCCTTTAGGGATGGTATTCCTTCATGGACGAACTTTTGACTTACATAAAAATAGATTATTTACATTAATTATGTAAGTCGATGAAAAAGGCCTAAACAAGAGTTACTACATTGAGGGAACTAAACTTAAAGCCCATAAACGAGGAGCACTATTTATATTGGTGGTTTGGTGAAACTAGACATGAAACATCTTACTCATTCCTAGGACACGACTGTATAAAAGAGGTTGTGATCATGGTAGTCTAGAAGCCTAGCCCCCATTGTAGTATTATTTTACGATCTTTACCATTGACATTGCTTCATGCTCGTATACGTGTATTATGATTTTTTTTCTCAATGTACATGTTTTATTGATCACTTGAACTTACTCTTTTCTTGTTTGGTCTAATTTGTAGGTTCTCAATTTGACTTACTACCTCATTGTTGCCCAATTTGCAAGTTTACCTATTATGATGTAATCATGTTTATGTCTTTCTCTAGAGGGGATGCAGTCGTCCTCTTTTTTTGAACGGCATGATGCAGTCGTCCTTAAGGCATGATTATCAACATATATCTCCCTATAGCTCATTCTAATGTGATTCACGGGGTTTGTTGTTGTTGCTACTGTTGTTGGATGAATATAAAACCTTTAGTCCAAAGGTTCATATGTTGCACATTTAGTCCTTATTTCGTAGTTTGCTTCTACCTTTGGTGCCTAGATACTAACAGTGTTAAAAATGTCCATTTGCTGTTGAAAAAAATAACTACAACCCTAAATAAATATTCAATCTTCATTATCGTTAAACTTTAAAATCAAATCAAAATTTACCAAAACTTAAAAATTAAATAAATAATAAAAAAATATCAACGTTTACTTTTTGATCAAAAGCTTAAAACAGAGGAGGGAATTAGTATACGAACAAGTCGAGTTTAATCAAATTAATTGATGAGTTATACAGTCCAACTTAAATGCATTGACTTCTTCCGAATTAGTTACGGATGGTTGTGAGCATTTGGATCTTGTAGGATATAGTTATGCTTAAAGGTGTTGCCACTAAACTTATGTAGTTTGTAGGAACGACAAAATCAACTGTGGATCAAGCTCTGACGATTGTTTGAAAGAACTTTTTAGTGTGATTGGATTTTCTTGTTTAGACAAGTCTCATGTACCTTGTTGAATTTAAAACATGTTTTTGGCTCAAAATGTATGGAGAACTATAGAAGTATATAGAGTATCACTTGGTTAAATGATATGATATCTTGTATGACATGGAGAAGGTATTCATGCCGAGATTATTAAAAGTCAAACAGTTGACATAATGATAATTGTGGTGTGGTTAAGGGGATTGATGAGATAGAAAATGTTAGGATTGAACCCAATTATTAGATGATGTTCAATATTATTTACATAAGTTTCCATTAGTTGTCCGTAACGACTACAAATTCGGGCTAGACAATTAAGATATAATAAGCGATAGAAACGACATTTTGATAGAAGACTAATTAGGATAAATAATCTTAACTAAAGTTATAGCACATGTGACAAGGATTCCTTACATATAAAGAACTCTGAAATCTGACTTCATATGAAGAAGTTATGCTTCTTCGAAGTTTCACGATTAAACCGCTACGGCTACGTATGTCGTAAAAAGTGAATTTTAGATAGGTTGTTTATTAGCTTAAATAATATAAACGAAAGTCGTAGTAATCATAAAACCGAGATTGTACATAGAGAGAACATCCCAATCTGACTTCATATGAGGAAGTTATGATTTTTCGAAGTTTCAACGCTGTAATGCGGACACAAAAATCGAAATTCAAAACGGTTGATTGTTAGCCGAAGCAATCTAAACAAGAACTGAAGATTTCGTGATTATGAACCCGTCGATATAAAGATAGTCGAGAACGGAGTTCGTATGAACCCGTGTAATTTCCCAGTTTTCGCTAAAATTTCTGTAAGTTAAGCTGCACTCAATTTATTTCAAGTGTAACTTATATTTATGTTCATAGCCGTTATTATGAACCTGTAAATGAGATTTATCAGTGATTCCGAGCCATTATACTGATTGATCTACTTACAAGAATGATGTCTAGGTTGGATTTAGAGAGGTGTTTAAAGTGGGATTTCTAAACAGTATACTTTGTATACCAAACGGATCCTACCTCCGATATGATCCTACTTGTTTGTTCCTTACTTGATAGATCTTGATGTAGACATTGAGATTAGTGAGGAATCTAGACTATCATTAGTCACTAGGAACATTAGATTAAGACTCAGTATTAATTATACTTAGGTCACGTCATGGGAAAATCTAAGGTGTTAGGCGAGGCTCTACCCAAATCACCAGTCATCCACCTAAGTCAGATGAGTGCATAGTCTCTTTCATAAACATGATTTTAATACAAGTATTAATTAAAGTATTAAATATTTGTCGAAAAGTTTATATGTGAGTTATATGCTTATTGTCTGGATTATGTTTTAGAAATGTATTTAATGATATACGATATGCGAACCACATATGTGTTTTTTATGTGTTAAGAGACATATATTTATTATTACAAGATAATAATAATAGAAGTATTATTAGAGAGAGAGAGAGAGAGAGAGATAAAAATATATTAATACTTAAATATTTTGTACTAAATATATACACTAAATTAGGATAGTGTTGTCTAAACATAGTTGGTATTGGGAGCTTAGTAGTTTTGTCCGTTATTGAGATAAGACTTATTATAGATGCCTAGTTCAATTAAGTTTGATATTGGATAGTTATTCGGAAATTAGGTGTAAGTTAGGAAAGGAGAGTAGAGTTCTTTTTTGTGACACTTTCAGGTGTTGATGGTACGAAAATACGTACCATAGTACAAATTGAATTTCTTTTTGGATAACTAGAAATGATGGGTCCAGATCAGGCAACTGTAATAGTATGTTTGGTCATCTCCCAGAGCAAGACGATCTTGTGAATTACGTTGCTAGTGTGGGTTCAAAACTCACAAGCATAGATGAAATGGGATACCATATTCATCAAATACTATGATGGCTCGGGTGCCTTTTATGACTTTCACCAGCCAAGGAAGCCCCTAGCGGTTTAGTCAAGTCATTTCTTCTAAACGGGTTATCTTCCTAATAATCGTGGACTAGGATTTGTGAGGATCGATTGGGGTGGGTATGTGTGGGTATGAAATTTTATAGATATCCAAGTCAGAATTATATCTATATGGTGTTTGGTAATAGTTGGTTTTGTAGGGTTAAGATA